GCTGTGACATCTGAGCTATCTTAGAATGTGCATAATGTAGAGATCTGCAGTCTTCTGTTTTAAAAACCTTTAATTTTTCTTTTGTGGATTTTTGTGAATGAGTTCTTGACTTTCTGTATGAAAATTCTTGCTTTAAGCCTACAGAATTCATGGAACTACAAGAGGGCAGAAAAACTTACATAACAGTATTTTGAAGATGCATAAACAATAATTCATGCTACAGAATGCTGAAGTTTTAGTGTGGAACTCTGGGGTTTGCTTGATGACATGAATTTTCCACACCTAACTCTGCAGTTAACTGGTATTAGATGAGGTTGGGTTAGGATTGGGGAAAATTTACCACCAGATTGGAAAGGGAGCAACCCAAAGCTAGAAAACACATTAGTTTACTAAAGTGCTGGGACTCAAAGAAAGTTATGTTTATGCATTACGACTGAGTGGTCAGAAGGACTCTGAGGTAATTAACAGTCAAACACCATTATATTACTTAGGTTTTGCATTTATAGTCAGGGAAAGCAAGGAAACTAGCTAGGTACAAGATTATCATACAAAAGAATACCAATTGGAGCTCAAACAGGACTTCATTAAATACCAAATTTTATACTTTCAGCAGTGATCAATGGGTAATTTCTCCACACCATAATATTGACTAAATTGTCAAGAAATGAGTTTGTGAGAATTTTAAGAACCAAATAAGTCAGTTAGGGGAATATTACTCGAATTAACACAAAACTCTCACAGTCAGGTGTCCATGGTGGACAGTAAGGAGAAAAAATGGAGAAGTTGAAAGTGAAAGGCTTTAAAGTGAAGGGTTCAGCTTGAACAGGATCACTACAAGGCTTAATAAACACAAAAGAACCTGCTAAGTGTTACCCTAATGTTTGCTTGCTTTTCAGATTCCACGTGAATACTGTCATATTCGACTCTTTTTTTTACTCTAAAACTCCAAACCTTCACCAATCATACCTTTAGGTTGTAGATAACGACGCCTTCATTCTTAGGTAAAATGTATTCAAACAAGTTGGACTCAAAATTGTCGCATTTCCCTCTCAAGTTTGGGAAATGTTGTGACCTCTGCGACTGTTGCGAGGGAGAAAGACTGGGAACAAGGCGCTGGAGTATTAGAGAATAGGTACAATTTTTTACTTCTGTGTCTACTGTCACTGGAATAAAAGATTACTGAGAAGTACCATTTGGTAAATATCATCACATCACTTTGCAATTTCCTCACCATATCGACAGATCTTCAAAAGTCCAAACCACGAGCATAAATTCCAATAAGTTTATTTAGATGACATCTGCTCAGTAAGGTAATTGCGATCATGAGGAACGTAGCCTCACGAATATGATATGAATACAAATCTAATCTTCTTTATGTTTCATCTTTCTATCGTATCATTTTCATCCAGGATTAAACCACAGTCGTCTTCATTTTGAGAATATAATAAGTCAGGGAAAACGAGCCCGCGTTTTCCATATAGAACAGCAGTGAAAAACTTCTTCACTGTTGAACATAGCCTTTGCTAGTCTTTGGCTAAACGAAAAAACTCAAGACTGCATCTGTTTCGTTATCTTTAGACACTAAATTGAAGTTGCATCGCGATAGGAAGTGTGGCTAGCGCTTAAATGAAATAGGAAGCAACGTTACGACGACGTACACGCCTAACAAGGGCAAGAGCTAAGTCATTAGAGGTAGGTTTTAGTTAATACTCAGGGTGGTGACCAGGATTTTCAAAGAGCTGAGGGGATAGGAGTGATGCAAGGTCTCTCCCAGCATAACTGTCTGACTGTTATGTCGACAGCCATGCTGTGTTTCATTAAGAGCGACATTTGTCGGATGAGCACTGAATGATGCATAACGTGCAAACTCATAATTTACGCTTTCTCGTCTCCCTTTTAAGTTGCTAACTTATTGTGCCCGCTAAATATGCGTCGATAATGCAAATATTCTCATCCACATGCCACTGTGGACGAATTTCAGTCGTCTTACTGTTCTATTTAGTACTTTCCTTAGTTTTCTCTACTATTAAGCTATAAAACCGTTTGCAAAATCGTGCTCCGATGATTTACCAGTTCTGTGATTGCTATCATTTACAATCGCCGAGTTTGAGTTGATCTCTTCGCCAGGCATATCTCCTTTATCCAGTCGGGTAGTCTCACTGTCCACCTTAAACGAGGGTACGGAGTAAATCCGGGATGAGGATAAATTCGAGGGACTCTCCTTTTCCATACCCGGGTTTTTGTAACTCCCCCGTGCATCCACCGGGGACACGCGAGCTTTGTTTCCGCGGGAACTCTGAGGACGCCCCTTCTCCTGTGGTGATCCCCGTACATCCACCGAGGACACGCGAGCTTTGTTCCCGCGGGAACTCTGAGGATGCCCGTTCTCTTGTGGTGATTGCGCTTGTTGAGCTTTTAGTTCTATCCATGACCTTGAGAGAGAGCTATTGGATTTTTTACGGCGAGATGATTGGACACCAGGGTGCAGCTTTTTCTTTTTTGTCCCACGACGTTCAGAAAGAACGGAAGAAGGCCTCGAATCCTCTTCGATAATTTCTTCGCTCTCATGCATCGAGTTAATGAGTGTGAAATTTCTAGGGAGCGCCGAAATACGAGGAAGTTCCTCACTAGCCTGAGGTGGCAAGGCTCCTCCTTTTTCTACCACATTGTCTAAGTCTCCGCTGCTCGTTGTTTCCCTTGCGGTGGGACATTCACTTTTCCCTGTTTCACTCTCGCTTTCATTCTCATTTTCCTCCTCATTGCATGTTTCAGCGTGATGAAGCTTAGGCCTATCAAACCTTGTTGGCCCTATGTAGACATCACCATGCGCAAATAAAGTATTCCTAGAACGGCGGTGATAGCGTCGGTATTTTGTGGCAGAGCCTTTCCTGGATGGTGTCTCAGTTACGACCTCTGGGACCTCGTGAACACCATTTGCACGTAGTGATGTTGAACTGGAAGGTGATTGCCCTTGTCTAGGATTAGCCCGCAGTTTGGCTTCACACATGATCAAGCGACGCTTTTTCTTTGGAAGGCTCAGCCTTGCTTGCGCGTGAGAGTAATAAGTGGAAAAGTTATTGCCAATAACCGAAACAGGCAACGCCACAATAAGCACGCCAAGTATGGCACAGATTCCTCCAATGATTCGCCCAGGGATCGTGATCGGTACCATATCGCCGTAGCCTACTGTTGTCATGGTAATGATAGCCCACCAAAATGCCTGTGGGATGTTCTTAAAGTCCTTCTGTTTGGGTTGATGGGATTCGATTTCGAACAACACGCTTGAAAACACGACAACTGGAATGAGGAGAATTATCAGCAGTAGGATCAATTCTCTGAAACTCGCTTTGAGTGATTGCACTATGATCTGTAAACCGCTTGTGAAGGCGAACACTTTCAGTGCGCGAAATGTACGTATAAGTCTCACGGCTCGTAGAAATTTTAACATACTGGTACCAAAAATTATGTCTTCATAAAAAGGTAACAACGATATAAGATCGACCCACGTCATAATTTCTTTAAAGAAAGCCAACTTGTCTGGGCAAAATAACAACCTTGCGCCAAATTCCAAAGTGAACCAGGCACAAAAGGCGTACTCAAAGCCTCTAATGTAGACATTATTTTTATCCTGTACCACAGACAAGACGCACATGGATACCACAGACGCCAGAATCATAAACAAAGAGGTTAAAGCGAAGACCTGAAAAGCGAATAAAAGCTTTTAGAGAAGTCTTCCAAGACTGATTATTTCCAATGCTCTTTCACATATCAATATATTTCCCCCCCTCCCTTCACTGGATATATCGAACATTTGGGTATTATCACTAAAGTTTTCACGAGGCTTAAGTAGGAAGCCTTTTGCAACAGCAGTTTTTAAGTGAACGGATTACGTGGGCGTTATTTTAACTCGTAGTCGACTTGCTTGTGAAAACTCGCGGCACCCGAAAAGGTCGTCGGCATTTGCCCACTCTTGTGGACTAATACATCTATGTAAGATACTTTCAATTATTGGCGCCTTTTTGTGATTATTTTAGCATTGATTTAAACTTGTGCCAGGCGAGCACTTTGTCAAAGCGGGAATGAGATGAATGCTTTTTCGCACACTGATCTAAATGAGCTTTTCGCGCACTGATCTAAAAGAGCAATGTCTGCCAACGACAAACTCTCATACTGCGGATTTTCTTTAGACGGCGGACAATCTGACTCCAAAGTAATCTTCGTTTGGACCGTGGTTACTTTGTTTAACATATATTCCAAAGCCAATTTAAATTGAATTTCTGGTTTGAAATTAAATTTCTGGTTTGAAAGAGAACAATTCTACAGACGTGACAATCGTGATTAAAAAAGCTGCTTTCATAGGACGAACTTTGCTGTGACTGGGCCAGAGATAAATCTGGATCTCATCTTGCGAGAAGTCGTGTTAAAACCTTTATACAATGATTAGCAATAAAAGAAAAAGCTAGATTAGAAATAATCCGTTGATGTGTTTGTGCGAGATATCAGAAAAACATGGCATCTGCATAAATTGCGATTGTAAGCGCCAATATGCAATTTTCAGAAAATGGACAAATTAGCAGAAAGAAATTTTTATCACCAGTAAGAGTAACTAACATGAACTTCGGAGAGAACAAATCCTGAATGAGATACAAACACTGCCGACGATTTGAATGTTGACAGGGATTTTCCTTCACCTGGCATAAAATAAGCTTGTTTTTTAAATATGTCACCATTTCAAAAAAAGCGTGAAAGTAATATAAAGTTTATTTTGATACATTTTGCTGGTAATGCCTAGGCAATGATATTGCCTCCCTAATATTTTGAAGCGTCCTTGTCTTCCATTGGGTTTTAATAGAATCAAACTGAAACAAATGAGCACTGGTTGCTTCTAAATTCAAAGGGATTCCTTGGAATTAGCCTGTGTTAACTTAAGCGGTCCATAAATATTCAAAAGAAACTAATTTAACAACCAAGGTATCAGACAGTTTTAAAAAAAGCCATAATATTTTAAGCGAGTGAGGTGTTCAAAATGGTGGCATTAAGCAGAACGGCCGTGGAATCAAAATCACCGTAAATTTACTGATTTCTTACTGAAGTTTGCGATGCTCTTCCATTGATTGGGTCTGTTTAAGCATAAGCTTTTGCGTTGCCATAGATGAAAACAATGCTATTTTTGATAGCTGACGGCAAACAAATGCAAAATTCTCGATCGGAAATGGCCCAGCTGTCAAAAACCGAGAAGGTTCTTTCATTCGGCAAGACATAGTGATCTTGTTTAAGTCTCGCAATTCATTTCGGTCATAAATACCCCCAAAAAGTACATAAACTCCAGACCATTTTAACGTTTCGCGGCCAGATTATTTTTTTTCCTGAGAAGTTTTTAAGCTTTAAAAAATTTAAAATAGGAATACAAGATTAATCTTATGTTCCTGCCGCTTTGTAGACCCGGGGGCAAAACTATAAAGTCGACATCAAAGCAAGCGCATTTAAAAGCCATATTCTTGCAAAACATCGCACTAATATTATTGTAATTGTAACATCAGAAGGGTATGTTTTCATTTTTACTCGACTAGACTTAAAGTCTAAAGCTCTGACTGAAAGGATACAAAACCAACTTTGAAAATGAGAAAATATGGTTGTTACCCTAGGCAAACCAGTCCAAATGTAAATAAAAAAATGAGATTTATGCGAAGTTCATTCGTCGATGTTAGCATTTGTTAATGTTGTGATTTTTAATTCGTTTTTCAACTTCAACTCAGCAGTTTGCTTTCACTCAATGTAAGCCACTGAATACTATATTTTGCGTTAATATCTCTGATGTTGTCTATGATTTGCTGTCTCCATTCATGCATTTGTATAAGCCCGAGCGTTTAAGCAAGGATAAGCCACTGTTTACTCAGGAGGCAAAACCTATCAAGTAAATAATTCCTCGTGCACTGTTTAGCGAGCGCTGCGATAATTTATTTTGAAAACTTTCATTTCATTCCCCGATCAGGTTTGGTTGGATATATTTCAATTAGAAAAACGACAGTAAAGAAAGATCTTTCAATCTTGAGTCTTAAAACGAAATAAATCATTTCATCAGAAAAGCAACAGATCAAGTCACATAAAAGACCTCATCTGTAAATCGTGATCTACAGAGTTTAAACCGGATGTACGCATCTCTACAAAAAAGAGTGATAACATATTTCTCAAACATGTTTAATACCTTAGCCTTGGTAGACGAATGAGCATCATCCAACACGGCCCAAACTTTAGGTCTGTATATTGTCCACCATGACAAAGAAGTGGCCTGACCGTATGTTGAATCGAATTCCGGTGAAAATTCGTCGTCGTCGTTCTCATCAGAATCCTCAAACTCAGGTCCTACAAAATCCTTCAAATTTTTCTCAGCGTCTCGGTGTTGCGTGTAATATGGCCAACAACACGCTTCCATCTCCCTCTCCTCAATTCCCCAGAACGCCAGCTCCTCTTGAAACAGCGGACCGCAGAAATCCCTCGGCGCATGGAGATGGCCTGTGCGGTAATAGTTCAAAATGATACCAAAGATTTTTGGATTTCGGTCGAAGAAAAATTCTTGTTTAGTATCACTGTTAAGGTAACTGCCTGCTAACCATGAAAGCCTCGTGTCGGGAATGGTTTGAAGCGTGCTGGCGTACGTCTCATGGCGTTTTCCACCAACGTTTATAATAATCTTGTCCGTGTCTGTATCCATAGTTTCAAAGAAAGATGCAGTGATGCTAGGCTGGGAGTCTCTGTTGCGCGCTTGTCAGTATTAAAAAAGTAATCGTTAATACGGTGAACACAGCTTTGCATGTGTGGTTTTTCCCCCTTTGAACTTTTGCCACAGCGCTGTAAGAGATATTGCTGTACGTAGACAATTCCGCAACCGATGAAGGATATTTTTTTTTTTGCCCAGATCGTGATGGGCAGCTGCCTGTTGTCGATAGCAGGTGATATTCACGGAGAGAACTGCAAACGAAGAACGGCGTGGGTTAGCACATCAGGGTAATGTTACCTGCGCTGTTTGACTTCCCATAAAATTCAGCTCTCTCCATGCGCACTGAAACTTTTATGAGCGCAGTTCACAGCGCTTAGCAATAGGCTCCCTTCTGTGTTATTGAAACATGCAGATAGCGTAATAATGAAGAGGCGCGGAAAACGCGATATTGACAAATCATTTTAAAAGTGCGTCAGTGCCAAACAAGACCCTGTCATCTTTTCTGTCACCTATGTAAACACAAGATAACAAAATGCAAATTTTTTGCGTACTTTGCTACAAATTTTGAAGTATTGAAAATGTGGTCTTATCTCTATTCCTTGTGGTCTAGCTAAAGAAGATTTTCATTTTGTGGTTTGTAGTTAGAACCCAACGCGTTCAGCAAGAGACAAAACTCGGCGGAGAATACAAAATGAGGCATTAGCCATTGTACATTATATTCTATGCTTTATATATTTAGTTTAAAGGCAAAATATGTACATTTTAAACCGTCGACAACTGACAGATATTAAAACGGTCAAGAACGACAACTTTTGGCTCTATTTTCGGTAGTGCTGTTTCTGTTTCGCTTCCGTCAGCCATAATAACCAGCTTTTCACAAGAACTATAAGCGGCTCCTGCAACAAAAACGTTTGTGATCATAAAAGTATAAACATGTGAGTTGTTTTTCTCGCTACTGGTGTTGCCTGTGGACAACTTAAACCTACGGGGGTTCTGCATTTTGTTTTATTGTTTTGTCTAGTGAGGAATGAAAACCAAGCGTGCAGCGATTTTGCTATAATCTAGTCCATGTTTTAACAATTGATAAAGTGTATTTGGGACAAATTAGAAAACCGCGGACGACGGCACCTTTGCCAATCGACCGAGGACTCATCAATTAACTCCGGAAGCTGAGATAATGCCCTTCTTGATTAATTGGATCATTCAAAAGCAAATGGAGATGTTTTTCTCTTTAAGGCACTAAAAATAAAAAAAATAAACCTGATCGCTCATAGACGTGTCACGAACCGTCTCTTACACCACATCTTCTAGAACATAAACCTTCTCGTAATTTCCGCTCATTAATCATCTGCTTTTAATCTCGCTCACATCTTAAAAAATTTCTCTTAGAATTTACTGCGTCAAATGAAACAAAATTTATCGCAAAACATTTAATAATATTCGACTTCCGAAGAAAGATCAAACTAACTCTACGTGCTCAACTATTCGCTTTGACAAAACATCTTCACTGGTCGATGTTAAAATTCCATTAAAATCTGTTTTTTTTTTTTTTGTTCATGAAAAATACAAACAAAACATCCTTTTCCAAAATGATTGCACAATACTGCGCATTTGAATTATTGCATTTTAGGATCTTAATTAAGATCTGCATAAAAAAAACTCTGGAAATTAATTTTCTATTTGTTTTTTAGATAGTAAGTGTTTTAATAGCTTTTTAACGATAATCTTACCAACAAAGGTAATGACTATTGCGTATGAAAATTTTATGATTCAGACACCAAATCGGTTTGCAAAGATATTACACATGTAGGAATCATTAGGAAAACACAAACAAACAAACAAACAAAAAAAATACTAAATCGAAAACGAAATGTGAAGAACTTTTTGAGTATCTATCTTTAACTGTCTTTTTTATTTCTTCATCACGTTGATACTTAGCTTTAATATCAATATCCCTGATGGCGCGATTGGCTATTCCTGGCTCAAACAAGATAAGAATCCACACATGATAATGTTCTACGCTGACGCAGTTTCGGGACTCCATAATTTTTTTTATAAGTGGCTGCTGACGGATTATAGGCAGCTTTGCCGCAAGGCCAAAGCCTAACACAAGAGCCTGCCCGCTAGGTACACAGAGGGTGATCGGAGGTCTTTCAGGCGGAGGCAGACCGCCTGTAACCGACTTTGACAAAAAAACCCCTGATGTTGTGAAACTTTGTATAGGTAATAACATGATTTCGAGTGCAATTTGTTGTTAATATGCACGAGTTAAATTTTCAAAGATAGCAAAATTGCACAAGCTAATAGGGCAAGTGCAATTCGATGTAGTCTTTAAAAAATTTATAGGTGCTTATTAAACCAAATTACAAGAGAAATCATGTCACTATTTGTCAATAATGTAAATGAAAAAAACATCACAGAAATTCAAGATAGACGAAATTTTGAAAGCGTGCGCGCTATTTGCACTCGTGTTACAACTCTGCACTTGTGTTTCATGCGAATATACTCGTTTTCAGCCAATCACAAGCGCGTATTTTTTTTTTGGGTACTTTATTACGCTTATTAATACACCGACAGGTATAAACTCAGCCCACGAAAATTGTTTGCCAAGTAAGGATGGCGGAATAAAAATTCAATTTGGAGACAGGAGGGGAAGGGTGGGGTGGGTGGACTGAAAAAACAGCGCGCAAGCTTGGCAACTCGACCATTTCAAACTAATTATAGAAGAGTAAGTCTGTAAAATGACTGTTTGAAAGCCACTTCGTGTTAAACTATTGATGGCCCTCATATAAGAGGAGGGTCTTATTGGGATGATGGCTTTCACGGCTAAAGGTTGAAATTTTGGCCATTTCATTTTTGGCCATGTAGTCACCAGATTTTTTCCTTTTTACGGTTAACTTTTTTTACGACTATCGATTAAAAGGTGTCGATTTTTGCACCTAACAGTTAACGGTTAACCCCATTGAGACCCTCTGAGAAGGTTCATTATAAAGTTCGGATGTAACGTGCGCTGTCACTGATTTGCTATTTGCTAACGTTGGGCTGAGATAAGGCTGTCACGCTATATGCCAACTTGTACTATGTCCGACCACTTCCCGGACTTTTCTCTAGCCTTTTTCGTTGATTGAAAGTGAAATTTCGGAAAAGCGAGCCAGTAAGTAGCAACAGAAGAACCAAACAAAGGTTTGTAAACATGCCAAGCGCAGTACTTTACGTTATTATAACGTAAGCAAAGAATCCTTAAAAAAGAAAACGAAATGGACAGTCCGTGTCGTGAAGGTTTTTTACCCTCAGTTAAATTACAAGCTTACGTGCGGTAATGAAAGTCAATCAGCGCAATAAAACAAACCTCTGAAATTTCATCTGCCGCCCTTCGAATGAAAAAATATTTAGAGCTTTGCTCTGATATCCTCTCCGATGCGTTGAATGGAAAGCCACATAAGTCACGGCAGCCGAGTTTTACGGCGCTGTCATCCTTAGCAATCTTTATGTTCCTGTGAATTCGGCTGTCGTTCATTCATAAAACACACGCCTTGACCAGTTTGTTTTCTAATTATCATGTGAATAAACTCCCTTGTTACGTTTTTATGAGCTTCAATTCAGCCGGATTTCACCGAACATTTCACTTCCAGATTCTGTATTAGAGACTAAAAGAAAAAACTTCTGGAAAAAGTGTTAAATTCGATCTGCTGAACTATTTCAGTCTGTAAACTACTGCAGATTATTTCAACCATTCTAATACGGATTGGCTTCATTGTAGCGTACTTTATGAGAGAAAAGACCTCTAGAGCATGCGGACGACACTGATGTTCGCTTTAGCAGTAAAGTTTGGTTTGAAAATGGAAGGTAATGCGTGGGGAATTCAGTTCTCTGGCCGCTTCCTGTGTGTTTTACAACAGAACATAGCATAAATTAGTCAAGGCTTCTCTATTTGTTAAATAAAGCAGCACCCCGCTTCCTTTTCTTGGCCTTGGAAATGTGTTGAATAAGGGGTAGTGCATATTTCCAGTTGAAAACATTTGAGTATCGCAATGATTTTTTCCGTCCTCGAAATCTCCTCGGCGTTCGCGATGAGTTGGGATTCTTCTCGACCACGCTGGATCAGAAAAAAGTCGAGCTCAAACAAAACAAGCCAAGCTAAACTATGGCATTTCTTAGCACTCGCACGCAAGTTTTTGTTTTTTTAATTTTTTCTCTTTGATTTCCGTCGATTAAAAGATGACTAAAGTAGCTTAGATTAGTAATGGTGGTAGGAATGAGTGGAGTCCAAATCGGACATATTCTTTGACAAAAATAATTTTTATATATGGATTTCAACCTGTCCACGACATGAAGCTAAGAACATGCGGTCTGAAAACCATTCAAATGATCATGTAACGGAGATGATTTACTACGTTTTGCAGACTCTCTGACCACTGTGATGATGAATATCGTTGTCGATGAGGGTACAGACCACGTTAAACCATCGTCGATTTCTTAACTTTGTGGCCGGTGAGCGTTTTCTTTTTTTTTTTTTTTTTTAATCATCATTTTTTCAGGTGCGAAACTCGGTTGCTAAAGGTTGATTAAACTCAAAGCGTGATTGGAAAAGGTTAAAGTTTAGCTTTCGAAACGCCACCTTTCCCTTTGTTTTCGGGTTTTTTTATTTTTTATTTTTTTTGTAATTGTGAGAAACACGTTCATAACCTTTACGTAATTTCCCAGCAGGTGGTGTCAAATGTAGAGAGTGTGCTTTGAATCGCCGAAGGTTGGTGTACCGCAAGTCAAATGTCTCAGACACACTCCTTGATTCTGTTCTACAAGGATTTTCCAGTCTTATCCGTGTAAAACTTTACGGCATCCACAAAGAATCCTGTAAACTACGTTATCTTAATTAAAAGTGTCAAGAAGGCTACTTCTTTTTTACAAGAAACAATTATAGCTTGTGACAATTTTTAAACAAACTGCCAAAAAGCTAAGTACCCAGAGAGACCGTGAACAAAAGGAAACCAAGTATTCTTACCTCATTTATAAGTAATTTAGCTACGACTATATTTATTCGTGATTTTCGATAAAAGCAATTTCATTCTTCCGCGTCTTCGAGCGACTTAGATACCAAAGAGTGAGTACCAATATCACTTTTATTGCCTCTATCATAATTGGTTAATTTCTACATTTCAACACCCAGATATTGGACATGTTTTATTTTCAAAAGATTAATGATGTAGAAGTTTATTTTCACACCTGCGAAAAATACTCCCTGCATATCTAACCCACGTAAAGACAAAATTTTCTTCTCTATCAGCTAAACTTTAAGGCTCAAGTTACGTAGTAACTACAGAAAAAAACCCTTTTTGACGTGAAAGAAGGCTCTAATACTATACAGCGGACGATTCCTGTTGGGATTTCAAGTGCAAAAAAAAAATAAGACAGTTCGAGGGAAACTGCGATAAAAAATCAATTACTATACCACATCATTTCTTTTTGAAACCGCCCCAGCAAAATGATGTAGTTCTTTAAGAATGCTTTGTATTTATATATAATGATATCTTTTAATTTAACCCCGAAGAGTGACTAGAATCTTATATCTTTTCTCCGCGTAGTAACACTACTGAATCAAACACTAATATCGTGAGAAAAAAACGAAATGATCACCAGATAAAGAAGTCCTTACTTGTGGAAAAAGCTATGAGCGGCCGTCACCGCCAAAATACAGGCATAATAAATGGTTTCTAAGAAACAGAAATGGTCTAATTGTCTTTTGGAGAACGGTTTATCTTATCTCGAGAGATTTATTTAAAATACAAATGGACAAGTCGCCTTTGGTCAAATGAAATATTCAAACAAAAGATGGTTTATACAATTCAGAAACTCTGTAGCCACCTTTGTCGAACTGATTCAATGAAAACACGATTGGCCAAGTGTTAACTGAAATGGTTCAGTGTCAAAATGACAAACGGTTCAGCTAACTGTACTTTGGTTCAGTGAATTGACACAAAGGGTTCAGAGTATATGTAGTGTGAAGTGGCTTAAGTTAGCGGCAAATGGCTAATCGTAAGCCGCAATGGCTTAGTATCGCATCAATCTACTCACCGTAAAGTGA